CAATTATAAAGCACAGATTGTCCTTATTACTTCTGCCCATCACCCATGGCACAGGGGACCTGTGGGATTGCAGTCATGCTCCCTCCATCCAGTGATAGCCGGGAAAGTGCCCTTGATTTGGGGCAGAGGCAATGCCAGCGATGCCCTCCCATCAGGTTCTGCATTTAGACCCTGCAGGGCATAAATGTGAAGGGCTGATTAGCTGCTAAACTGAGGGTGTTTTAGTAAGTTAGTCTTTGATCCGCTGTGCATCACGGCACACTCGTGCAATGGATGCTGTGGTTCAGAGGGTGCTGAGGAGCAGCCTCTGAGCGAGCAGGGAGAGGAGGCAGGTCAAGGGGCAGCACTGCGGAAACAGGGATTGCAAAATGAACAGGTAACTGCTGAGTGAGTACATTGACACTGCTGGAGGACTCTGCCCCAGGCTTTATTAGCTGCTCCTTCACTGGGGCCTGCGTGAACTAATTAGTTCAAAGAAGCAGCCAGGGGCCAGACCAGATGGAAAAGGGGCTGCTCCTAATTCATTCCCTAATGTGTGGTTCACCCTCTCTTGTGGCTCTGAAAAATTTAAGCAGTGGCTCAGCATCCTCTTCAGTGACCCAAGTGTTACTAATTTAGAGGTGTCATTATTTTAACCTTAGTAATGTGCTTTCTGCAGGACTGTACCGCAAAGCGGAAGCCAAGCTGTAATAGCCTGCTCTGGTTGCAGGGAGGTGCTGGGTGCCCTCCTGGTCTTTTTGACCCTTTTTTAGGGAACTGCTGGTGTTTTGTGGGCTACTGCCTAACGTGGCCCTGGGGCAGGCTGTTCCTGGGGTGCTGGCCAGGATCAAAGGGGAGAGGGTCTCCCAAAGAGCCATCAGCGTGGCCACGCTCTCCGCTGGCACAGGCTGGTGTGGAAGCCCAATTTCTCTTCTGAAAGCACCTTTTCCACCACCCAAATCTAGAGACAAAGTAAGAATACAACTGACTGGGGCTTAAACTGAAGATTTTGGTAAGTTAAGTTATTTAAACTTCTGTGTCTTGCAGGAGTAAATAACCCTTGCTTGGGAATCCATCTATGCACTGCAAAGAGATGATTGCTGTGTAGCCTCTATCACCAACTCATTGGGACCAGCCAGATTCAGGTAAATATGCTGGATGTGGTGTCTCCTAAAATGAGTGTCTCAGCTGAATGCCGTGAGCTTCAGCCAACCCATGGTTCTTCAGGCTCATAAACCTCACCCAGGCCACTGCCTCCTCTGTCTGCACTGCATACAAATTCAGCCCCTCTGCTCAGGGCTCTGCAGCAGGGCCAGGTCCCTCCTTTCCTGCCAGGGGACTTGTTTGCTTGTAATTGAAGAAAGCAGATGGCATTTTACCAGGTTAAAAAGCACTGGAAGGGCAGGGGTTAGAAGTAATGAGCTAACAGGTTAGATCAAATTGAGAGGCAGCTTCAACATGGTAAATTATTTAGGGGTAGTAGCTTCTCTATTTGGTGGCATATTTATAAGCTTGCAGTCTACGCTCATGCTGTTGAGACTAAATGAATGCTGAGGGTAAAATACAGCTTCAGATGTTATGAGCAGGGTGGGGTGTTGCAGGGTACAAGGTAATCCAGGCTGAAGCTCAAAGGGGGTTCTTTGATTTCTTACAAGGAATAAAGGATTTTATTCAGACCCTGGGTATCCAGAGGAAGTTACAGTATGATGAGTTATTTCCTTTCATTCCTTTCTGCTACTGATTTATTTCCCAACAGCACACAGCTGCCTGTGCTCTCAACCAGCATCTACTTAGCAAGCTGAGTGCTGACCTTTGCCTTCATTTCCACCTAAAACTCTCTCAACTCCTCTTAACATGTCAGAATATGTGCAGGGGAAAGGAGCTGGAACTCATTCCTCATCTCCAGAGTTTAATGCTCTGGTGCATTTGCTGGAGATCTCGTGGTGCTGAGGGAATTTATCTACCAATTACTTCTCAAAAAATAGCAGAGGGTCATGCAGTACTTGGCATGTAAGGGCAGAGAGGGGAGAAGAGAACTGGGGTTTAATTGAATACCAAGTATGTTGCACAAAAATTTCAGAACTATCAATTAGCTGTTGGCCTGGGGCTGAAGTTTAATTAAGAGAATACTGCTTTTTGGATGTCTCTGTCTGGTGGAAGAAAGCATGAAGGGGAATAGTGAAGACTGGAAATGTGATTGGAAGGTGGAAAAGATCCTGCTGGTGAGGCTTCAGGGTTGAGCTGTTACTTGGGTTTGCAGAGGTCCAGGCCATCTGTCAAACTGCACATCCCATTCCTGAGAAACACCTTAGGTCAGGGTGCAAGTGAGTTTCTGAGCTGGGACAGTAAATCCTCTTCCCATGTGGCCTCAGGGCAAAGCTGGCTTTCCTGCTGCTCTCTGCACCTGCAGCCATGGGGTGAAGGGCTGGGGGACACAGAACAGCCTGTTCCCAAGGAGATGCTGCCTGTACTTGGGGGCCCAGGAGGCACCATCCTCCATAGCCCACAGCACCACAACACCAAGGGCCAAGCTTTGCTGCCATGATCTAGTTACTGTAATAAAGCAAACAGCACAGGGATGCAGAGTCCCAGCCTCAGCTCCTGCTCCTCTTCAACCTCACTGGGCTTGCAGGCTGTCTCTAACATACTGAACTGCTAAGAATGGAGCAGGGAGGGAAAGGGGAAAGGAGAGGATGTGGTGCTGCTTCCTCTATATCTTGGACAGCCAGAGCTGCCTATGGCACGTGTGCACCCATAGGTGCCTGTGTTCTCAGGGATCTGTGCCCCAGGGAGCTGCAAGCCACAGTTGACTTTGAAACAGAGAAAATTAATTCCTGTGCAGGCTAGACAGGGTATGGAGAGGCTTAAGGGGATTAAGCTGTTATGTTTTGAGGAGATAACTCTGATGCATTGCAAGAATGTCTCATTAGCACAAGAAACAAGTTTAGCTCTGGGCTATACAATAAGATGTTACTGTTAGCCTCAGCCCAGCCCATGTGAGAGCTAACGCATCCAAACGTAAGAGCTGACACATCCAAACCTGGATTTTGACATGTTCAGAGGACCAGCAGCTGCCCCAGGACTCCCCTTCCTCCTCCTCTGCCTTACCTGTTTGTTACTATAAGGCACCCTGATCCTTACTGCTCTGGTTTGTCTGCAGATACTTCTATCAATGGGTGATCTGAGCTGATAAGGAAAAATTTATTCTATGGGGGGAAAATAATCTGTACTAGAGAAAAGATCATTACAAGCAAATTGTTCCAACTCCTAGTTTCTTTTGCTAAGTGGAATAAATTTCTCACACAGTAGCAAAATCACTTCCATATTCTTCAAGAAGCAAATCCCAAATCCCTGTAGAGAACTCCTTTAACAACAATAAAGAGAAGTTTTGTTCCTGAATTCTCAATATACAATACACAAAAGATCACAAAAATAGTATGAACCCTTACATTTCAAACAGACACCCTTTCAAATAATTGCAAAAAACCAATGATATCATCTTCCCTCATCCTACAGTTATTGTGGGGGCAAAGGAGATGATAGTTTAATAACTCACAGTATAACCTCCATACATGCAAAGCCACCCTACCTCAAAATGAAATAGGTCCTGGGCAGTTCCCCACACATCAGTGTGAGGTGAGGTCTTGTTCTGATTTGCCCAGATAAATGGTTTCCCATAGATGCAGAATGGTTATTTAACACCTTTAACATTGGCCGAAACCAGGACGACAAGTGAGGCTGAACTGGCTGTTCAAGGAATGTTTTACAGTCACTTGAGGGTTACTGGTGACCGACACTTGTTTTATTTGGCAAGAAAAGAGCCTTAGCATTTGGCTCATGCGTAATCTTTCTCATTTTACTCCTAGTCCAAACAGTCTTTTGAAAATCTGGGGCAAGTGTCCTTGAGCTGGTTTCTTGGATGCCGCAGGTTATGAATATCCACTTTGCTCACAAGATCATAGCAGCAATTACAATCATTAATGCCTTATAATCAGTGTGTTACTTATCAAAAAACACTCGATGGACTTTCACAAATTATTCTCAGGAAGTAAGAGACTTGCTTCTGCCACTGAAATGCAACTGTGTAGCTAGGATGGAGATCAGTGCTGCTCCACAGTACACAGCTACATCTCACTGGGGCTTGCAGGACAAGGCTATGGTGTCCAGCAGAAGCAACAAGAAGAATTGGGTCAGAAAAAGGCAAAATTATCCAAAAGAAGCTTAGACCACAATCTTGGAAGTATCACTGTTACCTTAGGAAACACTCATTATTAGTTTGTTGTTAATTTTTCTGTAACAAATCCAACTGGTCTGGACCTTGGGTATATGTGCTACCAGCACTGCAATATTTCCAGAGGCATAGGGTGAGCTTCATGACACCCGACTTCAGTTACTCCTAGTGTAGGAGTCTCTACCTGAGAAAGTCCCTTTACAGTCAATGGACAGAAATAGTCACCTCTGGGAGGCACTCAGCTCCTCAGTGGGTACACTGCTCCTCAAAAGACTATGTTGAGGGGAGAGGAGCCACTACCTAGAAGTGCCTAATTGTCCCCATTAACTCTAAAAGGACTCTAGAGGAGCAGCATGTGTGGCATATGTGAGTTACACACATGTAAATTTGGGTGAAATCTCACCCTGTAAGAAAACTAGTCCAGCAGAAAGAGGTGGGTTTTTCCTTCAATGCCATTCTCTTCCTGGATTTCCTTTCAATGCTCTGGCCCAATTCAACAAACAACTGCATTTGTACTTAACAAAGAATGCTGATGCACTGTTATATTTAACTACAAATACTTAAAGATGCTAAACAATAACCTGTGCCTAACACTTCACCAAGCAAGAATAAATTAGTGGTAAGGAAAAGCAAGTTAACTTGCCTCTAAGAATCTGTTCTGTTAAATGCCCCAGAAAAGTATTAAATTAAGCTTGCTGCAATGCCGAAGCAATTTCGGTTGGCACTTTCCCAACACAGTGCATACAGCTGCATATCTCCCACTGCCTGCATTGTTTAAGGGTCCCAGGATTTATTTGGCAGGCTTGCTCTTCACAGGTGCAGGAAGAATGTTCAGATCTTCTTGTTCGGTGTTGTGATCGGAGCTGTCATGGGAATGGCCCTTCATAACGCTGTAGTACACCGGGGCGGTGTATGGCATGGGGTTCTCAGCACTCTTTGCTTCACACTTGCATAACTTCCGAAAGGCAGCCCTGAACTTCTGTGACATGAGGTTGTAGATGATGGGGTTAATGGCACTGTTCAGGTAGATGCACATGCGGCAGAAGAGAAGGAACCAGATGTTCAGGTATGGAGGGTCCATGAAGGAGTTCACCACAACCAGTGTGCGATAAGGCATCCACAGAAGGGCAAAGAGGACCACTACGACAGCCAGCATCTTGGTTACCTTGTCAATGGGGATATACAAAAAGAGAAGTAGTCAGAGGATGCTAAATCTCCAGCAGAGCTTTCTCACCTGGAGAAATGGTGCAGATTCAGCTAATTCAGTAATACATATTACTTATATCACACTTCAAGCTCTTTAAATTGGCACCCAAACCATGAGGCTATTCCTCTGTGAATCCATTCTGTTCATGAAACAAACTTGCATAAATAAACCCTTTAAATTTTAGGTTTTCACCTACCATGGTGATATTCATGGAAATTTCTGTACCAGAAAGCAAATCTGAAAATTGTACATAACAATAAAATAATTGGGAAATGTCCTGGTTTTGGATGGAAACTTGTCCAAAAGTGGGGACCTAAGTTTTGGGATGCCATTGGATAGATCTCAACTCCCTGCCCAGGATCTCCTGGTTTCCTACACCTGCTCTATTGTTTCAGGGAATAAGCTTCTGGTGCAGAGCAGACTGCCTGGACTCTTAAATTCCTACTTGTGCTGATATGGAAGTTACTTAGCTAACTGGTGTGGGTTATTTAAATTTGCACACACTAGGAAAGCACTACATTAATGTACAAAAAGATACTGAGAATTCAGAAGTGAGCAGTAATTACCCTCAGAGCAAGTCATGCTTGTTTAAGAATATGTGGTTTTGTACTGAAACTCCAGCGATCCTAATAATTTCAACAGCTATTTCTGGCAAGTGGCACCCATCCTCCAACAAATACTTACAGAATACACACATCCCCAAGGAGGAAACTATGAGTAAACACTCTTGCTGCACGCATATTAAGGCAGTGGTGTTTCAGAAACGTCAGAGGGGGAGTTGTGCAATAACTCCAGTTCTTGATATGGAAATAAGCACTTAGATCACATTCACAGTCTCTCAGCTTTTCTTGGAGTGCTTTTTTTTTACTTCATCACAAGCAGCTATGACTTCCTTTAATGCTGTGAGTAGAAATCGGGGGTGGTTGGTAGTGGCAACAAAACTTCCCCTACAAGAAAGGGACTGTTATCAAGCTGAGGCCAAAATAGAAGTGTTTTGCTGCATGTGGTTTAATGGGAATGTGAGGGCATTTCCCAGAATAAGATCTTGCAGTGATACAGGGAGTGCTGAGGCTTTTGCTAAGACTGCAGCATGTTTGCTGTGGTCTGCACTGCAAGACCTGGGAACAGAGAGCTCCTGATACCAGGTCAGCAGAATCTGCTCCTTCCTGGGCTTCAACAACATATGCCACATGAGCAGTGCTTATGCAAGGGACCTGTGTTCTTTACTGTTCTAAGCATCTTCATAGCAAATAGACATGGCAGCAATGGAGCACTCAGCCAGCCTGCTGCCTTCCACAGGCCCACTTCAAAGTTTGCAGAGAGAATTGCTTTTGCCATGTTTTTGATGCATCTGAGGTTTATTTCCTGAGAATCTGAACAAAACTGCAAAATGCAGCCAACTCCTCAGCTTAAGTGATCCCAAGTACCATTTCAGTCAGAATTCCCTCTATGGTTTATTCCTCCTGGGACATGAGGGCAGGTTCTGTGCTTTTCCACCCCATGCAGAGACTGAACATGTCCCCATCCTGCCTGGAAGGGTCCATGTTAAAGAACTGTCTTGGGGGTGGGAGTCTTCCCAACATGTCAGCAGTCCTAGGCAGCAGGGTTGCTGCAAAATATGTCCTGGGAAGGTGAACTACGACACCTCTGCATGTCCTCACCGAGACACAGGCACTCCTCACTCTGTGAGGAGTCTGTGAGCGGCTGTCTCAGTTCCTGAGGTGAAAAGTTACTCCCCTCAGGGCTGGGAAGAATAAATCCCTGAGCTTTTATACCCTTAGCTCTGCTCTCTGGCAGGTGTCCCTTCTGGCCAGGAGGTTTCTATTGGCTGAAATATCTCCTTTGAAGCTAATTAATAGTGCTCATGTGCTGCCTCCTGGGACTGAAACATCTTTTGGACTGTTGTAACTTTCTGCCTTGTTTTACTATTCAGGAACCCATGATGTTTGTGATGTGAACTCTGAATCCGAGTGACAACACCAGGGGGAGTGTATCCAAATAAGGCTGAAAAGTAAGTTCATTCCGGTCCCTTCTGAGACCAAGAGAAATGTCTGGAAAAGAACCAGTGATTCATCTGCTTTTTAGCCATAACTGCCCCTGCTTATTGGCTGGTGGTTATGGAAATACCAGCTCACACAGCTCCCACCCAAGCAAGCTCCCAACACCTCCCTCCACACCACAGAAGACTACAAAGTGCTGTCATCTAAAGAGTGTATCCTGCTACACGTCCTGCAGCCCTGTGAGCTGCCTTTGTCCTGGGAGAGAAAACCAGCTGGAAACAGCACCATGAGAATTTATTACCTCCATCTCTCTAAATGCTTTCAGTGCTCCCTGAGGGTGCTGCATCCAGCCCACAAGCTGGGACAAGGCAGCCCTGTCCTGAGCTTGCTGTAGGATTGAAATCTGCTTTTTCAAGCTGAGCATCCGTATGGACCATGTTCTCCTGGGTGCGACTTTACAAGGTTGTGTTGACACAGGATGTTTCCTCTGGATAAAACCTATCCCAAACTCACTCTCATATCTCTGTCATGGGGAAGTATATCCTCAGTGTTGTCTGCATACATGGCACCTGTCTCTGTGCCTTTCCTCACCCTTCATTGCTGATGTACCTACAGCCCACTTGAGGTGCTCTGAACTTCCTTCTGGTGTGCATGTGAAAAATGAACCTAATCACCACTGAGGAGAGTTTGGAACATTTATCTCTAACTGGAAGTAGTCCTGAATTATGGCCCCCTAAAACCAGCTGCACCCAAAAAAGCCAGAGCTTTGCAGTAGCCTTAAAGCATCCCTCAGGGAACACCAGCTCAGGGACAGCAATCTTTCTGACAAGTGTTTTGCAACAACTCTGTTGTACATAGTGTGTACACAGCAGCTGTAAAGGAGCTGTGGATAGAAGCAAGACAAGCGTTTGTAGTCGGAAGGGGATTTGTTTTACTAGAACAGTTTGAGCATGTGAGCCAATGTTATTGCTGGATGGCCAAGGGTATCTGATGTACAGACCCCTGACTACATCCTAAGTCCCTGTGTCAAAGCTAAGGGGCAGCTCATCTTCCACCTTCACAGGCCAAGCCTGGTGAAACTCCCCAAGCAAACCCACTGTGAGCATCCTTCTCGCTCCATACAAGAGGATAGGCATCTTGCATCCCCGCCAGCCCTTCAACCCAACCCCTCTCGCAGCGCAGTGTCCAGCCTTTCCCCCGTCCAGGAGGCCACAGACACTCCTCCCCAGCCAGTGTCACCCCTCCTCGTTCAGGCACCATCATCCTGAGCCGCAGCATCCTTTTTTTTGGAATCCCGCTCCCTCTAGTGGTCCCTCTTGGGCAGATGAAATATGTGCTTGGAGGTGGCTGGGATTTGAATCTGGGACCCTTTCTCTTACAGGTGACAAATACAGCAAAACTCACACCTTGCGTTGTCCTGCTCAGGAGTTCTGAGTTTTAGAGGCACCAATGATGGAGCTCCTGCTGCTGCTCTGGAAGGAGAGGTACATCCACCTGCACCTTTAGGTACTGCCTTGTAGTATCTAGAGACCTCACTGCCAAATACCCTGATTGAGGCTCCCACAGCAGCCAGCACCCCTGGGAGAGCAGGCAAATACTTTTGCAGAAGTCAGGAGCTGCTTTAAATCTTTCTTTGCTGGAGCAAAAGGGAGCAAAAGCTGAACTGGAAACCGAATTTTATGAAGAAATGCACGCTCTCTGGGCTGCCTGCTTCCCCTCCACAGCTCTGAATCATCTCTCCTGGGGAATGAGAACTTTAGGACAGGAAATCACAACAGAACGGGTGATTTCAAGAATTCAAGCCAGATTCCCAGATTCAGCCCTTTCCCTTAAAATGGGCCATACCTCTGCCTACTCAGAGTCTGAAACCAGAATGGGATGGTCTCCTGCAAACAGCCAGGTTTAGGCACTGACCTGTCCAAAAGAAATGGGGCAAGAGACAGTCTCTGCCCACGTGGACAGAGAAAGAGGAGGAACAGGGGCAGAAGGAGGTGGTAGGAGAAGGAGGTGGGGGGTGAACTGACAGCTGAATGACAGAGGAGTTGCGGAGAGGCAAACACACCACTGTGACACCAGGTGCCCTCCCCAGCTGCAGGGACTGGGGGGCTGCAGCCAAGGGATGAGCTTGTGCCAGCTCTTCCTTCCCTTTGCCTTTCTAAATCTGAGGTTGCTGGCCCAGGACTCTGCCTGGGGGATGAGTCCGTCTGGAGCAATATGACCCATCACTCCCCTCCTGGGAGAGGCAGTCAATCAGCAGATAATTAGCCAGCAAACATCCTGCACTCCTGCCTCTTCTAAATGATGCTGGAGCCCTGTCCTGCTCCAAGCCCAGCCAAAGCAGGGGGAACCCATCTGTGCTGCCAGACTCCAGCTGGGCTTGGGGGTGTTTCTGTGCAACAAACCAACCCTCTCCACTTCCGCCACAAACAGAAGAAAAATATTGGGGTACCCCATCTCCTGCCAGAGTGCTGCTCAAAGCACTGAGCCCCCGACAGTGCTGCCTGCAGCCCAGCATGCCCCAGCCCAGCAGGGAGCACCTACCTGCTTGCGGGAGCTCAGGGCCCCCCTGCTGCCCCGGCAAGAGAGCTTGAGGGAGCTGCCCTGGTGCATGGAGCCCGGGCAGGAGTGCTGCAGGGTAGTGGGCAGGGGGCTCATGAAGAGGATGCGGGCTACGAGGCCGTAGAGGACAGTTGCCAGCCCCAAGGGGATGATGTAGAAGACAGCAAAATCCAAGAAGTAAATGGGCATATAAAGGCTCCTGGAGACTCGGTAACCACAGCTGACTTGTGTCCCATCCGAGAAGGTGACCTGGGTCGTGTCCACCAGGAAGAACCACATGAGGCAATAGAGAGAGGTGAAGAGCCACAGCGAGGCGATGATGCGCTTGGCGCGGGACACAGTGCACAGGAGCTGTGCTT